AGCCCACCCTGGATTCACTGGCTGTGAAAGGGGTAGATGCTGAAGACAGCGGGGCTGAGCAGGGACAGGGTGGCAGCTGCAGTTCCTCCCAATCTCCACCTGAAGGGGCAGCCAGGGCAGGGACTCAGAGAGCCACGGACCAAAGGGCTCTCAACGGTCCAAGGGGACACACAGGGGCATGGCAGGGGCTCGCTGCTTCCCCCCTCCCCTCCCCCACCCCAGCCCCACCCCCACCCCCTGAGCGAGAAGCCCAACGAGTGTGTGTTCCAGAAGCTGCCTTCCCCGCGCCGCAACCGTCCCCTTTCAGGGCACCGGGCTCCAGGTAGAGGTGCAAGCTGCCAGGCTAGGATAGTCAAGACCCCCGCTGTGGTCCCCCTCCTCTCCAAGTAGCTACCAGGTGGGCTGACCCCAGCCTCAAGTCCCCCCCCAGCCAGACTCAGTCCTGTGAGAGGTAGCCCCTCAGGTCTCAGGGGACACTCTGGGCTCCGCCTCTCCCCACCAGTCCCCGCCCCCAGGGGTCGAGGTTGGGCGTCTCTCCACCTTGTGCCGGGTCACTGCCTGGGCAGAGTCGTGGATGGGGTCCCTGGGAGCGCGCCTTGTCCCGGTTGCCCCTGCTCCCCGCCGCTGGGCCCATGGCATGGGGTCACTAGTTACTATAACTGAGGTCGCCGACCGGTTTGGGTCGCCAGAAATGTAAAGCAGCTGCCGTCCCTGTCCCGGGGCGGCGGGGTGGAGGGTGGGCATCAGGGATGGAAACCCCCTGCCTGGTGGCTGGCCAGTGTGTGGAAGGCAGACGAACACACTCCCTTCTTCCCCAGGCCATTGCGCCCCCAAGCCCTCCTCTCCGCCCCACGGGTCACTTTCCGAGGCCCCAGTGACCCCCCCAGCCTTGGGCCTGAGCGTTCCAGAGAACCCCATGAGACGAAAACGGGGCGCAGAGGCCGACACCAACCCCCCCCAAGTGCCATCTGGGCTGGGCTGTTCAACTCACAGAGGAATTTTCAGTGTTGTAACCCAGAGTGGTCACCAGAGGGCGGCAAGAACAAACCTCTGCGGCCACAGCCCTCGCCTAAGGGAGGAGGGGCGGGGGGCGGGGGGGAGGGGGGAGTCCCACCCTCTAGGTGGCCGGCCAGCAGCGATGACTGGTGCTGGCCAGAGAGGGGCGGCGGGGGGAGGGGGGTGTCCCAAGACTACCCAGCAAGGGCTGGGCCTGAGGGTGTCTGCCTGCAGATCTCCTGTAGAGAAAGGAGTTTGGGGGATGCAGGAGGTGATGACACAGAATCTGGGGCTGGAGGCAGACATGGACTCAGATAGGGGCTCCTGACCTGCCTTTCACACACACACACACACACACACACACACACACACACACACACACACCCTCCATACCACCTCTCAGCTCCACCCACAGAGCTTCTGCATTAAGGCCCTTGAGCTCTTCCGGAGAGCAATCCCAGAAGCCGAGAGGACCTTGTCAGCTAACACCTCCCATGACAGCTGACACCTACAGTGACAGCTAGCACTGCATTCACAAGTAGGGAGAGCAAACCTGCCTGAGTGGAAAGGGATGGGGTGGGGTGGCCTTTGGGGGTTGGGGGTGGAGAGGAAGGGGGAGCATGCCAGCACAGACTTTCTTGATGCCAGGGCATGAGTGTCGAGATGGGGCTGCTGCACTCACAGGGACCAGGGGTTCCATTGGGACCCCAAGACAAGAACCCGTCCTTGTAGATCAGATTCCAGGAGTGGACAGGAGTGTGTCACTTGGAGGGGGCTCTTTTAACTGGGCCACTTGCCTACCTAAACCACCCCTCTCCCACGCCAGCTCCTCATTGTCCCCACGTCAGTCCCCAAAGCCCTCAGCCAGGGGTTCCCAGCCTTGTGTAATCTCTGCTAACCTTTCTCCAGTCTCACCTCTTTCGACCTATTCAAACCCTACCCCACCCCTGCCTGCCCAACTGCCACATCTCCCATGATATCAGGCCTCTGCAGATCCTGCTGGGAACCCCCCTTCCTGTGGAGAACATAAGCAGGGGGCTCCACCCACCCCAGGTCGGTGAGCTATCATGCCTCCGAGGACCTGTGTGCTGACGTTTCTCCAACTGGCTCGTGATTTCATCATCATTTGAAAGAGATCTTAATCATCTCCATGATCCCAGCCCCCAGCATGAACATGAGTCTGTCCATGTTTATGAATACATGGAAGAAAGAATGTTGGGAAGGTGAATGGGAGGAGGAATGATGGAGACACGTCAAAGAGATGGAAGTGAGAATGTTCATGCATGTGGATAACACAGGCTCTGATGTAAGCATAATGGATGACTGTGGTAAGATGATGCGTGTGGGTTGATAGTCGATGAGAGATGAATGACTGCCTGGGTAGGTGAATTAGTGGATGAAGGATGGATGGAATGGTAAAATGGGTGTGGGCGGGTGGAGGAACAGTAGATGCATGCATGGATAATGATTGATAATAAGGATTGGGTTGTGTCCTTCCCAAATGTGTTGTAGAGCCCTGGTAGTGTAGTGGTTAGGTTACACATTGGGCTGCTAACTGTCCGGTCAGCAATTTGAAACTACCAGCAGCTCTTTGAGAGCAAGACGAGGCTTCCTACTCCTATAAAGAGTGACAGTCTTGGAAATCCACAGCAGTCGTTCCACCCTGTCCCGTAGGGTCACTACGGGGACCTGGAGCTGACTCGATGGCAGTGAGTCTGGGTGTGATGCCTGTCATCATGATTGGTAAAATAGGAGATCAGAAAAGAGGAAGACCCTTCGTGAAGTGGATAGACACAATGGCTGCAGCCATAGACTCAAACATAACAATTGGGAGGATGGCGCGGGACCGGGCAATGTTTCCTTCTATTGTAGATAGGCATGCTATGAGTTGGAACCAACTCGATGGCACCTAGCCACAACAACAAACTGCGTGAAAATAAACTATCTGTTAATTTGTGATACTTGCATTGTAGCAACACTAGGTTATTAAACAGGTGGAAGCATGATGGCAGCGGGTACCACAGGATGGATGAATGGCAGGTGATGAGCAGTGGCTACATCTATGGGATGCTAGTTGACAGTGAGGTTGAATAGCTCATAGACTGATGAATGAAGGGTGAATGGCTAGGGATGCTGGGTTGATGAGTGAATGGCTAATGAATGAATTCATAGAGAGTGGATGAACTATAGGAACCAGGTGGTGGACAGTGTCTGCCTGCTGGGTGGGTGAATAGTGCCTTGTGGATCATGGGGGTATGAATGGCTGGTGCACACATTGTAAGTGGATGATTTACTATGGATGGATTCATTCATAGTGAGAGATGGACAAATGGGAGACAAATACAAATGGGTATGTGACTGAGCGAGGATCACAAATAGTGGAATGGTACATGGTGGCTGGACGATGGCTGGTGTGTACACGAAGAAATGATGGCAGCTATTGGGGTGGTTGCTAGCTGGATGCGTAATGTGTACTGTGGATGTGCAGGTGGGGGTGGGTGGAGACTCAGTGGAGGGATTCTGGGTGATAGATGATTAGATGATGAATGGATGAGTGGTGGTTAAATGTAGATGGTTACATCTTAGAAAATGAAAAACCAGAAAGTGGATAGATGAGTGCTATATAGTAAATATCTGTCTAGCTGTCTAGATGGATAGGTGGATGGATGGATGGATGGGTGGGTGGATGGATAGATGGATAGAAAGTAAACGGTAAATGGTTGAGTGGAGGTGGAGGATGGGTGGTAGGTGGAGGGTTAACAACCAGATGTACAGTAGATGGGTACCTGGATGGTGGATAAAGAGATGGTTGTTAAATATCTGGTGGAAGTCGCTTAGCGAGTGATGGAGAGTTGGCGAATGGGTGGATGGGGAACGATTGCTGGACTGATGGGCATTTTCCTAGTTTTTTGATGACAGGTGGGTGGAAAGGACCTCTGGGGGTATAGTGAGCAATGCATTGAATTGCAAGGCCAACAGTTTGAACCTCCCAGCTGCTCCATGGAAGAAAGATGGGGTACCTGCTCCCGTACAGATCTGAAGTCTTGGAAACCCCCAAAGGCAGTTCTACTCTGTCCTACAGAGTCACTACGAGACCAAATGGACTCAATGGCAATGGGGTTTGTTTTGTTCTGTGAGGTGATAGGCGGATGGGGAATGGGGGTGGAAGCTTAATGGTTGTTAGCTGGTGGACAGCGAGTGAGTGGATGGAAGATGGCGGGCAGTGAGTGCTGTAGGATGGATCATGGTCAATGATGCTCCATAGCTGGTCAGGATCGATGGTGGTCGGATGGTGGTTGTACAGCTGTTGGATGGTGGGTGGCAGACAGGTGGACCCTGGAGCATGGATATTCAATGGTATGTCATGGCTGGTGGGCAGTGAGTGGATGAATGATGGTGGGCAGTGATTGCTGGAAGGTCAATGGCACCTAGAAGCCTGTCAATATTGATGGTGGTTGGATGGTGATTGTTGAGGTTGGGTGGTTGTTGGAGCATGGATGCTGGCTGGGGACAATTGCTCGAAGATGTTAGCTATTAGACGGTGGGCCCGACCTGTCTCAGGTGCCAGACCTGTACACAGCGCTGAAGGAGACTGGCTGTCCCATGCTGGGGATGAGCCTGGGGGTGGAGATGAGACGCCCCCAACCCCCTCCGGGGACCACCTCCACCTTGTGCTCTTCACTGGCCTGTCCTATTGTCTCAATTGGAGGGATTTCTCTTGCCATGAAATCTGACCCCACCAAAGTTCCTGAAGCCGAAACCGGTTTGCGGGGGCGGGGGCGTGCGAGGAGTGGAATCATTCCCGTCCAGCGAAGGGAGGGCAAGGCAGGTGCTCCTCGGGGCTGGTCCTGGAGGGCGGCGGCGCCCCGCCCGCCGAGGGGCGTGAGTGTGACTGGAGGCCGGCGCCGAGCGCGTGTGGGCGGAGAGCGCGGGGACCGAGGGCGGGCGGCTGGGGCAGCTCAGCGCGGAACGGAGTCTGGCGACCCGGCCAGCAGCCAGCGCGGGCGGCTGGTGCGAGTCCGGAGCAGGGCGCCCCCTCCCCAGCCTGCCCCGCCGGCTTCCGGAGCGCCCTGAAGGCCAGGTGCAGGGCCAGTGGGAGAGGGTGGGGGCAACTGAGAGGCTTTGAGTCCTTGGGGAAGGGCAGGGCGAGGGGGCACCGCCTGGCCCCCCCTGCCCTCCCCGCACTGCTGGACTTAGGGTTTTGTGCACTGGCCCTAAGGGTGTGGTGCAGACCCTGCCTGGCTCTGCACACCTGGGTGCCGGGCAGGTGTGGGTGGTGGGAGCTGTCAGGGTGGGGCGTCCTGCTGGCCCTAGGTCCCAGCACGTTCCCCTGCCTGCCCCTGGCTTGCTTGGGGAGGGACGTCCATCGTTGACTTGCTCGCCAAAGTGCCAACCCCGGCAGAACTCGGGGGCCAACTCCCTCCTCTCTCCTCTGTAGCCTCTTAGGAGTCTCTCTGTAGTTTGACCATCTCTTCCTGGCCCCTCTCCCTGCTTCTCCAGGGCCCTTCTGAGTCCGAGGCCACTCGAGAGGACCCCGCCCGGCTGCCTGACGCTCTGGCCCAGGTTTGGGGACACTGATGGGATTCACAAAGGGACAGAGGCTGGGCGGTGGGATCTGGGAGGCCTTTCACAGGTTCCGGGCTTGGATGGAGGCACAGGGCCCAGAGTACGGTGTGTGGGCGAGCTCACTGTCCCGGGAGCCCGCTGCAGCTTGCAGCTCCTCCCAGCCAGCCAGCCCTCAGCCTGGCATTGACCTGGCACTGACCTGAGCTGGCTGTTTAGGTGAAAGAGACCCCGTTTCCCAGAATAGCAGCCCTGTGCCCAGCTGGGTACCACACCACCAAGTGGGGCACACCAAGCTCCTGCCCCTCTGCCAGCCCCTCCCAGCACGTTTGCTGGCCTGCTGAGGGCCAGTGATACCCTGTTATGCTGTCCGGGGTCTCGGGCAGGCTGAGCCTGGACTTTGTGGGGCTCAGGGACAGGACCCCTGTGCCTCTGGCCCCCACCTGCCGTCCCCAGGTGGTATGGATGTTAGGTGTCTGCTAGCAGACCTGGGTCATTTTGCTGCCTCTGACCCCAGAATCTACCTGGGCTGAGCGTGAGTGGGGAGACTCAGGCTGGTGTGGAGTTCCTATGGGGGCTTCTCTTCCCGGGTGGGCACAGCCAGGTGCCAGCAGGCTTGGGAGGCTGAGCTGGGGGTGGACAGGATCTCTCTCGGGACAAAATGGGGCATGTGAGCCTCCAGCAGCTGACTCAACCCTGTGCTCTCCAGCTCCCCTCCCAGGACCCCCTGAATTCCTCAGGGTGCTCTGTGCCCCCTCCATGGTCCCTACCTCCCCACCCTGCCAGGCTGGAGGCCACGGACCCTCCTTGGGGGATATTACCCAGATGCCATCTCATACCCAGTGGGCACACAGGGTGGAGACTATCCAGTGCCCCTCCATGGTGGGCTCAGTGGGGGTGGTGGTGGCAGTGGGCAGGAGAGTTAGGAGGGTTTGAGTGGTCTGAATCCTGAGCCTGGCTCTGCCCCAGATACCGATTCCTGGCCCTGTCCTCAGCAGAGCGACAGCATGAGTGACCCCCAGCCCCCCATGCAGGAGCTCAGCTTGGCCAAGGCTGCTGGAGGAAGTTCATCAGGAAAGGTATGTGACCGACCGGGGCCAAGGACCTGCGGATCCTCACCCTTGCAGGGGCCCCCCTGAGTGGATGACTCTGGCCTCACTTCTCAATGTGGCCTCTGTTTACCCATCTGGGTGGGAGGTGGGCGGCTGCTTTTCAAACTAGAGAAATCTGTTGTCAGCAGCTCTCTGTACTTCGGGGCACCCCGGATCACTCCCCTACACACATTTAGTCCTCTGTTGGGGTCCTGGGTTCAGTTCTGGTGGGGGGAGAGTTTGTTCCTGCAGTCAGCAGGTGAAGTCCCAACAGGGCACCACCTTGATGTGCAGAATTCCAGAACTCTGGTGTGCTCCTTGCGGGAGTGGACTGTGACCAGAGTGCACTGCGTTTTTGGACACAGCTACCTCATCAGGGCAGCTTAGGGTGGCGATGTTGCCCCGCTCCCCACTTCCCGACTGTCCTTATCTCAGCAGACATCCTCTGTGGACCTCCAGGTGGGGTTCATTAGCCTCCTGGAAGGGGGTAGGGAGGACAGGATAGGTGGGAGGGGCCCTGGGGTGGAAGGAGGCTCACTGACAACTCACTGCCATCAAGTCTATGCTGACCCATAGTGACCCTCTAGGGCAGGGCAGAACTGCCCTGTGAGTTGCTGAGACTTAACTCTTTACGGGAGTAGAAAGCAGAGTCTTTCTCCTGAGGAGTGCCTGGTGGTTTTGAACTGCTGACCTTGTGGACCGCAGCCCAACTTGTAACCACTATGGCAGTGGATGGGAAATGTGAGGGAGATAGGCGGGTCCCAGAAGACCCTGGGGAGCAGGGGTGGAGGCTCAGCCTGACACCTGTCCCCACAATGCAAGATCACCGGCATGACTTGGTTAGGTTGCTGATTCCTAGGCTCCCCCTCCCGAGGGTGGTGGAGCCTCAGGAATATGCATTTCAACGCACTGTCCAGGTGGTTCATGGACCACTAAACCCTCCCTCGGGCCCCTCACAGCCAGTACAGAAGATGGATGTGCCCCAGAGACCACCCTGCTAGATCAAACAGGGGGCTACAGGAAGCTGAGCCTTGGTGTGGGGTGCTGGTGGTGCCCTTGGATGGTGCTCTCGGTGCTCTGCCAGCCTGCCTGCAGGGGCAGCTCAGCATCTACTGGAGCCTTGAATGGGAGGCGGAGAAGCCTGGGAGCCCTGGGCATTGAACAATGAGCCCAGAGTGAGGAGGGAGGGAAGGAGGCAGAGGTTGCTATGGCAACATCTTCCTGGCTTCTTAGAGAGGCAGGAGTGGTCCCTGAGCCCAGTAGGGAAAACCCCAGGAAAGGGCTGGGCCCTGAGCTCCATGCTTGGCCTCTTGGCCTTGGACTCTGTGAAATGGGCCTTCTTGGGGTGGGGGGGCTGGGGGTTGAGCCCAAGTGTTGCCTCCACATCCGATGAGAGCTGCCACCGCAGGGGCGGAGCCAGTGCCTCCCTCAGGGCTTGGATGAGGAAGGGGATACACACCCACACCCACACCCACCCACACACACACCCCCCCCCTGGAGAACGGGGCAGGAAGGAGTGGCCCCTCGCCTCCCCCTCTGACCCTGCCCACCCCCTGCAGGCACCGGCGGGTGCCAGAGAGAAGGGGCCCCGAAGCCAGCGGCTGCCGTCCATCGTGGTGGAGCCCACTGAGGTGGGCACCGTGGAGAGCGGGGAACTGCGCTGGCCCCCTGAGGGTGCCCAGAAGGGGTGCCCCCAGGACAAGGGTGCTGCCGGTGAGTGAGGGTTGGCGGGGAGGTCAGAGAAAAGAGAGGGTGGCTCCTGACTGTTTTGCCCTTAGCCTAGAGGGGGACTTCAACCCTCAGCCTGCTCACACCCTATCTAGCAGCCCCCTGCCCTGCCCAGGCGTGGTGTGACCTCCACCTCCTCCACCCTGTGGACTGAGGTCCCCTCAACTACCCTTGAGGCTGCAGCCTGGCCCACGTGTGCAGAATGAATGTGTCCCGCACCCACCTCCCACTGTTTCTTTGGAGCACGGGGTGCGGGGTGTGGGGGTAAGGGCACCACCAGGAAGGGGGGCGACTCCCGAGTCCGGGAAATCAGTGAGACTTCATCCTCACAGTGCAGCAACCCTGTACAACTGCCTGGAGGAGTTTACCAGGCTCCAACTTCCAGAACAGTCGGGCCTTTCCTCTCCGGCTCCTCGGGGGCGGCCCGCCATTCGACCAGTAACCCAGTGCTTCAGGTGTGTGACACCCAGGCCCTTACCTGGGGTGGGGCTCGCGGGAGGGGCGGGAGACAGTAAGTATCGCGCCCATTTTGGAGAAGACTTTCCCTGGTGGCGTAGTGGTTATGCGCAGGGGCTGCTAGCTGAAAGTTCTACGCTTTGACAGCCCTCCCATCGCAGACCTTGTCTGGAAACAGTCCTCCAGCCGGGGTCTGTCCACCTGCAGGGTCAACCTCCTCTCCCTGCCAGCTGTCAGATTTGCACAGGACCCAGGGCAGAGTCAGGGGCTGATCCTGGGAGGTCCCTGGACCTTACTCACTGGATCACCACAGGACGGTGGCCCTTGCTCCTTGCCCTCCATCCCTTGCACAGAGCACCCATGGTCAGCACCCCCTCCCTCCTGCCAGAGGTTCACCTGGGGCCCTGGGGACCCCCCCCCCCCCCAGATTGCACCTCTCTCACAAAGTCCTTGCAAATAAGTCATGGACACAGACCCCACCCACCCACACAAAGGCCCCTCTGCTTCCGCAGCTTCCTGGCCGAGTCTACGTGGCGCACCAGGAGATGCTGCGGATGCTGGCATTGAGGCCATGGGCTCCAGGGATCAGGCACCCCCGGCCCAGTGATGGAACTGGATATGACCCGGCCCTGCTGCACCTGCTGCCCGACAAGGTGGCCAGGCTGAGGCACAGAGGACCGAGCCTATCAGGGACACCAGAGGGCTGCCCGCCACCTCCTGCCTTGCCGGCTGTGGCCTGGAGTACAGCCCTTGTCCTTTCTCACTCACCCAGGCTGGCCTGAGCCCACCCCTCCTTGATCTGTGGCTTGAAGCAGAAATAAAGGCGCTTCCTGGGGCCGGGGTAGCGCTCTGTTGGACTTCGTGCTAGGCACTGGGTTGGGAAGTGCCAAATGGCACTGTTGAAATGGCTGGAAGTTTCCAGAAGTGGTCCCATAGCTGTGGTCACCATGCCCTGCCCGTGTGTCCTCTCCAGGTGGCCTCGCAGTCCCTCCTTCCTGTCTCCACACCCCCCCCCCCCCAACCCCCGGCCTTGCTCCGTACAGCTGGCCACAGAAACTGTACATGGGCTGGGGAGGGGAGGGGGGCACTTAGAACAGATGAGACTGAGGTGTGACCGAGGTGCCGAAGGCCAGTCCGGATCGGGGCTGTGAAGGGGTGGCAGAGGCTGGGAGGCCTGCCATGGCCAGCTGCCCCTTCCTGCTCCCCCTCCAAGGGGTCCCTGACAGTGTCTGCTAGCCCAACACCAGACTCAGCTTCCCAGCTCTGAACCCTCCCCCGGTCACCCTGACCGGGCACTGGGTGCTCTGCACCTGCAGGAAGGGAGTCCAGAGGCCAGGTGGGTGTGGAGTGTGGGGTGTGTGGGAGCAGGCTCATGTGAGTATGTGTGTGTGAGTATGAGAGTATTATATATATGAGTGTGTGTGAATGAGTGTGTGTGTGTGTATGTTTGAGAGGGGGATACGTGGCTGGAGACACAGGCCTCTTGCCCTTCCCTGGACCTCGTGACCTCCAAGAGGAATACCGTACTGTCTCTAGCTCTCCCTCCTTAAAAATAGCACCCATCCCCAGGCTGGAGAGGTGGGAGGTGGAGGTGGGAAGTTTGCTGGCTGCCGGCTTTCTTGTTAAACTCTGAGCCCCAGGACTCTGGGACAGCTCCCAGAATAACCTGAGGTAAGCCCTTCCTAGGTTGGTGGCTTGGGAGGGTCTTGCCCTCCCCCTTCTATAGCCCCTCCTGACAGGCTGGGGTGGCCACAGCAGGGGTGACTTGGACCCCCGTTTGCTATGCTCACCTGCCTGAAGGTTGAGGAACCCACGAGTGGGTGGGGGGGGCTGGGTATGCTGTACCATGACACAGAGATGGCGTCCACCACCACACCTGCTGCGCACCCCCAGCCTGTCCCTGCCTCCTACCCCCCCCACCCCCCTCCCCCTGCAGCAATGCCTTCTGCCTCTGTGCTTTGATACCTTATCTCTGGCTGTTGGTCATTTATTCATCCTTTCTTCCTACGTGGATAGGAGCCCTGGTGGCATTGTGGGCTATGCACTGGGCCGCTAACAACTGCACAGTTAGCAGTTGGAAACCACCAGCCACTCCATGGGAGAACGAGGAGGCTTTTGGCCTCCGTGAAGACTGACAAGTCTCAGAAACCCACAGGGGCAGCTCTCCTCTGTCCTATAGGGTCGCAGTGAGTTGGAATCGACTCGCTAGCAATGAGTGAGGTCCTGCTTGGTGCCTGGCACTAGGACCCATGGGAACCAGGCAGGCGGAGCCCTGTCTTGGTAGAAGAATCTAGGGCGGGGAGGCAAACACCACCTCCACCCATGACCGGCTCCCCATGCTCTGGGCAGGGGCCCTGGTGGCACAGCAGTTGAGCACTCTGGGGCTAACTGGAAGGTGAGTGGTGCGGATCCACTCAGTCCTCTGAGGAACAGACCTGGAGACCTGCTCCCGTGAAGACTTCGGCCTAGAAAACCCTTGGGCGGCCCCAACACAGGGCTGGGTGGGGGTGGGGGGGATGTGGGCCTGGGCGTTGGGAGGTTGGGAGAGCCCAGCCCTGGTGGCTTATATGGTGGCAGGCGCAGGGCCACTTCCTGGGCACACAGGAGCTGCTCCAGCAGATGAGCAGAGCGGTAAGTGAGCCGGGCACAGTTGGCAACCGGGCTTCTGCCCTTGTACTCTACCAGGGAGTCTCTAGCTCTGAAGAAAGCCACTCCTTCTGACGAGAGAGAGGAGAGAGAGAGAGAGAGAACACAAGGAGGAGGAGGAGACCTGCACCAGGGCAGACACCAGGGCAGGCACCTGGGAGGGTCAAGGGGGTGGGTATTTTGCTGGAAGAGGTGCCAGGACCTGCTGACACGTGGGGTGCGGGGTGTGGGGGTAAGGGCACCACCAGGAAGGGGGGCGACTCCCGAGTCCGGGAAATCAGTGAGACTTCATCCTCACAGTGCAGCAACCCTGTACAACTGCCTGGAGGAGTTTACCAGGCTCCAACTTCCAGAACAGTCGGGCCTTTCCTCTCCGGCTCCTCGGGGGCGGCCCGCCATTCGACCAGTAACCCAGTGCTTCAGGTGTGTGACACCCAGGCCCTTACCTGGGGTGGGGCTCGCGGGAGGGGCGGGAGACAGTAAGTATCGCGCCCATTTTGGAGAAGACTTTCCCTGGTGGCGTAGTGGTTATGCGCAGGGGCTGCTAGCTGAAAGTTCTACGCTTTGAACCCCCCAGCAGCTCTGGGGAGAAAGATGGGGCTTTCTACTCCCGTAACAGTTGCAGTCTCGGAAGCCCACAGGGGCAGTTCTACCTCTTCCTACAGGGTCATGCCACTGGGTGGCAGGAAGTTTGCTTTCCCCCAACCCCGCACCGCTGAACAAAACGTAGCTGTGACCCAAGGCCAGGCTAGCCATCCACCTTAGCATGCGCAGCTCCCAGTCCCAGGAAGGGAGCCCAGTGACACACGCGGTCTCCCCTAGGTGGGATGGGCACTGTGGTCTCCCCTAGGTGGGAGGGAGCTGGGATCCAGGGCCACGGGAGGTCTCCGGACCATGGGAGAAGGTCCCACCGTGAGCTGGGGGTTCGATGGAGGGAGGCTGCCCTGCCCCTGACTGCTTCTCACCCAGGGACTTTGAGTCCAGCGGGTCCCCAGATCACCCGCTGCCCATCTCTTCTCTCTGGGAGAGAAGCTCTGCCCCATCCCGGCCCCTCCCCCTGCACTCTGGTTCTGGGGGTGGGGGTGCCTGGGGCAAAGTCCAGCGGCAATCAACCGCGCATGCGCCCTGGCACTGGTGGTGGTGGTGGGGTGTCACAGCTTCATGAAACTCATTGCCCCTGGTGGGCGACGGAAAGAAGCCACTTGAAGGGGAGGGCACGATTGTCGCCTGGGAGAAACAGAGGCTGGGGAAGGGCTCTGTCCTTGCTCAGGTCACCCACCACCCTGCGTTTGGCTTCTGTGACATGCCGGGGCTCTGTCTTCTGTTGTCTGTGGAGACCAGGCCCTGGAGAAGGACATCACCATGCTTAATAAAGTAGAGGGGCATCAGGGGATGAGGAAGGCTCTCTGGACAAGATGGAGTGCCACGTGGTGCCCCCATGGGCTCAAACAGGACAATTGGGAAGACCGTGCAGGACCAGGTGGTGCCATCTGTTGGACATAGGGTGACGCTATGAATCGGAACCAACTTGGCTGAGCCCAACAATATCTTCTGTCAGGAACCCCTGTGGAGGAAGGGTTGGGCTGCTGACCACCACACCAAGGGTTCAAACCCATCAGCCACCCTTCTGCAGAAAGATGAGGCTGCCTGCTCCCATAGACTGGCAACCTCGAAAACCAAACCGGGTAAGAGTGCCTGGGTGCCACGGAGCAGAGTGAGTTGGGTAAGGGAGGTGCTGTGACCCCAAAGTTAGCCTTTGCCACCCACTGGCCACTCCGAGGGAGAAAGATACAGCATCCTCTGCTTCTGGAAGGGTGGGGGCTTTGGGGAAGGCCCCAGGTCCCCCCTCGGCCCCTGCCCCCCGCCCATGGCATCCAGTGGACGGAAACAGGATGGGTCTTCAGTACACAAGATGTGACCACCTGACTTCCATGGGACTCTCTACAGGCAGGCCATCGGCCAGGGAGAGGGGCCCACGTTCCCTGGGGGCTCTGGACCTTCCATCGCCTATCTACTGCTCCCGGTGGTGTGGTGATTAAATACTTGGCTGCTAGAGGTCGGTGGTTCAAACCCACCAGCCGCTCATTAGAAGACAACGGTGAGGCAGGCTGCTTCTGCAAAGATTTGCAGCCCTGGAGACTCAGGGCACAGCTCTGCCCTGTCCTGGAGGGCCACTCGGTGTTGGAATTGACTTGAAGGCAGTGGGTTTGTGTGCGATCCAGCCACATCCAGATGGGTCCTAAGGAGCAGTTGTGTAATTGAAGGGGAGAAATTAAGAGACAAAAGTTTCAGGGTGCTCACCTCCATGGTATCAGGAACCAGGTCCAGGAGAGAGAGAGAAAATGTATTCTTAACATCAACTTAGATAGTCTTGGGGCATGCAAGCCCCCCTAATTACAGGTAACCAGAGACATAACAAAGTGGGCTGCACCCTAACCCTAGAGGCCCCTGAGTTCATTGGAGGAGTAACAACACCAGTGCTGGGGGCCGGTGACGGGGAGTGACTGTCCCCTGAGCAGGGAGAGCAATAGCAACACCACTGCTCCTGTAGATAAAGCTGCTGGCCAGATAGCAATCAGCCATGTGCGGGTAAGAGGTAACTTTAAGATAGCACTATTAGGGGAGGATATTATGAGGATTAATCTTAATTTTCAGAATGTGATTGGGACTCATCTCTAACTCACAGTGTGAAGGCCTCCCAGGCTTCTTACATATGAAAATAAAGAATCTGTCTGCAAACCCTCTCTTCCCCTTCCTCTGTTTCCCACAGGTTTGGTTTTGGGTTTCTCCTACTGAATCCCAACAACAATCCATTACCACAGAGTACACTGAGGCTCAGAGGCTTGGCACCTCTCCCGAGGTCATGCAGTGCAATGTGGGAGAGCCAGGATCTGTAGTCCCCCCTAATCAATCCCCCCGACCCTGCTCTGCCCTGACCTCAGGCTGACCTGCCCTGGGCCCTGGCTCCTCTAAGACAAGGATGGGACTTTCTAAAAGGGATTTCACGCAGAAAAGTCCGAGGAAATAACCTGGAAGAGGAATAAAAGACACACACACCCACATACCCCCCCACCCCGTAGGCAAGATGTGAGTAGCAGGGGTGCAGATGAGAGTTGGAGAGGCCCAGGCCCCAGGCCCTGTTGCCCACTAGCCTCCAGGACCCATCTCCTTATCTGGGAGCCCCTGGCCACTGATGTGACTAGAAGCAGGGTCTTCCCATCTGTGAGTCTGTCCCAGGGGACCCAGGGCTGCCAGCAGGGCTGAAGCAGGCTTGGTCCCCACTATGGCACTGTGCTGCCCCCGCCCACCCCTCAGTGCCTCTGTCTCCAGGGAGGGACGGTGGCCTCCCTGTGCCTGGAGAGCTTGGGCCCTCAGCACCCGCTTCGCAGAGGGGCATGGGCTCGGCGGCTGAAGGGCTTACATAGTTAAGCAGAGGTCTTCCTGGAGGTGTTCTGGCTGCCTGTCCCAGCTGCCGCTGGGCGTGGGGTGTTGCAGTGCCTTGCATCTGTCCCTGTGGCTCCGTCTCAGGAGATGACAGGTCTGGATTTGTTCCCTGGACTTTCCCTAGGACGGTTATCGTGGGATTCCCCGCCCCCCCACCTTCCGCCCGCAGGGTGGGAGCTGGCTCCTTTGGACAGGCTTGGTGCCCTTCTCATCCTATTGCCTCCACCTGAGTCCCCCATTCACCAGTTGGGGTCCCACCTCCCACCTCTGCTCAGGTGCTGATCATGCCCCGAGTGAGGAGTCATCCCGGTGAGGTCCGTGTGCTGTTGTCCCTCTAACAGACTGGCTCAGTCTAGTCTCAGCTCCTTGGGGCCCCAGCCCCTCACCCTCTCCTGTGAGCCAGGAACCAAAGGTTGTCCTTTGCCAGCTGCCACAGCAGCAAGACCTCTGGAACTAGAGAGGGGCGGAGCGCTGCGGAAAGTGAAAGTATGGGGGCTGGTGAGGGTGGGGCTGGTGGGTGCAGGGCGGCGCTGAGCTGACCACTGTTGAGAAATCACAGCTGCTGGCCACTCACTCAGCTGCTCCGGAGGCCCTGAGGCCTGGCCAGGCTCTGAGAACCCCCGCTCAGCCATCTTCTCTCAGGGGCCCCCACTGGGTCTGCTTGGGGACATAGTGCCCGCCCATTCAGCAGGTATGTGCCTGGTAGGTGGAACCAGAAGTCCAGAGGGCTGCTCTGGGCAGTGGGTGGGGTTTGAGAGACTGAGGCCACTGTCGTTCTGCCAATGTCTTTCTGGGCCAAAGGCCTTGACTGGGAGCCCTGCTGACCAAGTCAGGGGCCCATCCCGAGTCACACGCAAAGGTGCACCCACAGACGCACGCATGCGTGCAGGAAGCAAAGGTAGACAGCGAGACTCTAAGACAGGCCGGCACACACACTGGGCTTCAGCACACACGTTCACCTCGAGATGCTCAAGGGCCCACATTCCTCCTCACAGTCAGTGGTTCTCAACCATCCTAATGCCTCGACCCTTAAATACAGTTCCTCATGTTGTAGTGACTTCCGAACCATAACGTTATTTTCATTGCTACTTCATCACTGTAGTTTTGCTACTGTTATGAATCGGGCAACCTCTGTGAAAGAGTCGTTCGACCCCTCCAAGGGGTTGTGACCCACAGGTTGAGAACCGCTGCTCTCAGTAGACCAACATCCGAGCAGACACGGCATGGACGTAGGCTCACGCTAACACAGGGCTCGTTGGGCCACTGCTGCTGGGGGAGAAGGGCTGGGGGTCAGGTGGCTGGGGAAGGCTGCGCCCTGAAATAGGCGACAGCCTGAGAAGGTGGAGTGAGGGGAGTGGTCCTGAGTAGGTGGAGAGGAAGCCAAAGTGGGGTGTGTGTGTGTGTGTGTGTGTGTGTGTGTGTGTGTGTGAGAGAGAGAGAGAGAGAGAGAGAGAAGGGGGGCAGGGCCTTGAACTCCAAGGCAAGGCGTCAAAGCTGGGAGGACGCTGGCAGCTCGGAGGTGCGTGTGTTTTGTTTCGCTGTTTTAAGTGTTATGTGGTTGTCCGCGAGAATCACTCAGTAGCCAAGGACTGACCTGGCCTTCCCGATGTGGACAGTCCGTGATATTGCCTCCATTCTTGGGGTTATGCAACTGCTCTGGGAGGGGATCTGTTTTGTTGTTCTTGGAAAAGGAACCTGTTCTCCCTGCAGTAGTTATGAATTTGGGCCACTATCCACAAGGGCAGCAGTTCAAAACCACTAGCAGCTCCTAGGGACAAAGCAGAGGCTTTCTACTCCAGTAAAGAATGACAGTCTCAGAGACCCACAGGGGCAGTCCTACCATGTCCTATAGGTCGCTATGAGTTGGGAGTGAGGAGGGAGAGCGGAGAACGAGCGAGGGCATTGGGCATCATGTGTTCATGCCACCAACACTCAGTGAGGACTGAACTCTTAGCAGCTCCCATGTTGGTCTTTATATCTCTGAATGTTTTTTTTTACCTTCTCACCTGAACGAGTTCTCCCGGCAGACGTTGACAGATAGAGGTGGGAGCACATGTCTGTGTGGTGGGCCCAACAGTCCTGGAAGGTGACAAGGGGGGCTTCTGTTCAGGGAAGAACTCCTGACTGCTCTGGGTGGGGATCCAGGGGTCCAGGAGGGAGAGCAGAGAGGAGGGCAGGGCTGGGGTCAGGTGATGGTGGGGGGCCAGAGGGGAATAGGGACCTTCCCAGGGTGCAGTGCCCAGGGCTCAGGCAGTGCCCAGACTATGGGGGCTAGTTTTGTGTTTTGATGGCTGGCGCAATGGTCTGGCCCTGGGGTGGTGGGTAGGGAGGTCAGCCTGCTGCAGAGCCCCATAGTCAACAGTTTGCAGCCATCAGCTCTCCGAGTGAGAAAGACGGGGCTTTCTACTCCCATCAACAGTGTCCGTCTCAGGAACCCACATGGACTCCATGGCTGTGAGTCTGGTCTGGTTTGGATCTCACCCCTGGCCTCTGGGAGCCCCCTCCCTGGGGGTCTTCTGTGGGAGAAACAGATCCAAGGGCAGCAAGCCTGAGTCCCCAGAAACACAGGCTGTCTCTGCTCCCCGCTCCGGGGCTCTGTAACAGGCCAGAGGCAAGGCACAGAGCCCGTTTCCTCCTCCGTGAAATGGGTGAGTGACATTCCTGCCCCAGGGCTGTCAGCAGGATCTGATCTGCACCTGGCGCTTACTAAGTGGGAGCTCTTCCCCATGGAGCCAGGGCCGGTCATCCCTGCCCCCTATACTGTACGGGAAAGAGTCCTTTTTGCCTTGCTACTCCCATGTTGAGTGTGGGCAGGGGAAGGGGCTGGGTGGACGGCACTAGGACCCTGTCCAGCTGTGTGAGCCTGGGCTGGTGCCTGCTGGGACACAAAGTGACCTGTGGTCAGGGAGGGGCTGATAAAATTCCATCAATCACCTGGAGTGCCTTCTTCCAGCTGCACTGACCTGGGTCCTGTCTAGAGAGGTAGGCTCCGTTGTCTGGGGCCGGACACACCGGGTGGTGGGCAGGTGAGGGTTTGGGACTGCCTGGCACAGTGTCATTCCATTGCAGGGAAGCTGAAGCCTTGGGGAGTGGGGGTGGCACAGCTCCTGTCCACTCACTGTCACTGTGTGTGCGCCTCTGTGTGTGTGCTTTGCTGGCTCCAGCCCCTGCCTTGTCCTGGGACCCCAGAGTGGGGGTGAGGAGCTTTGCCTCTGCTTGGCTGGGAACTTCAGTAGGTCTAGTCCTTCTTCCAGGCTCAATTTCTCCACACGTAAAGTGAGATCTGGCTGACTTAAGTCGACCCCCAGCCCCCTTTGCACAGTGGGGTAGGCGGGGCAGGTGGAGAAAGTGCCCTAGTTGCTCCCCGCCTCCCCCCTCCCCTAGTTTTATCAGAAGCCAGAAGAGCAAACAGCCAGCTCTTTTCCCGAGGAGGGGGTGGGTGGAGCCACATGTGTGTGTGTGTTTGTGTGCCTGAGCTAGTGGGGAGGCTCATTGGGAGCCCAACTCCCGGTTAAATATAGAGCTGAGTCTGCTCCCGCTGTCTCCACTGTGGGCTGTGTAACCTCGATAAGCCACAGGGTGACCCGAAGCAGGCGCCCTCCGCCCCCCCGCCTCCACTGGCCTCCAGCCCTGCAGCCTCTGGGAGGGGGTGGACGGTGCTCGGAGTGGAAGCCGACTGGCCTGGTCAGTGGAATGTGGGCTGAGCTGGGGGCTCTGAGGGTGGCAAATGGACTGGAGGGTGGGGGGCAGGTAGAACCCCCAGGACCTAAAAGTCCTGGAATCCTGGGAGCAGTTGCCTCCTGGGGTTGGGGTTAAGTCTTGGGGCCTGCAGGCTTACCCCCTTTTCCTTCTGATGGGCAGGCTCTGGGAGGACCTGTGGGGGAGAGGAAGGCAGGCTCTGGAGAGGTGTTGCGTGGAAGTGGCTGTCAATATCTCGGTGCCCAGCAGTGGCCTGAAGCCCACTTCCCTTGGAAACCTTCCTGGACGAAGTCCCTCAGCCTGCCAGGCCTCAGCTTCCTGCATTTCTGTGTTGGCTCCCCAGGACTGGGTACACCCCGCTCCCCGTTTCCTGAGCCTCCTTCTTGCCCCCAGCTCCCCTGCTGCCAAGATGCCATCACCAGGCACAGTGACCCCAGGACCGGGCCTGGGCAGCCCGAAGGAGCAAGGCCAGCAGCAGGCCCCAGGGCAGGTGGTCCAGAGGAGGGTGAGCAGCGGGGACATGCCCAGCACCCACTACAGTGACGAGGCTGCACAGCCTGGCTGGGGCACCTTGTGGCGGTCCTTATCCCGGGCGAGCCAGCGGGCCCGGGGCCCTGAGGGTGTGCTCAGGCGCAGCGCGAGACTCATGTACCGGTCCCTGCGGAGATCCCCAGAGAAGGGCATGGCTGCCGACTCAGCTCACACGGCCACTGTGACCTCGAAGACCAAGCGCCCGGAGGCACCCTTGAGGGACAAGGATGGTGTCAGCCAGCAGGCATCCACTGGGGGACCTGAGGATATGGTAGCCGAAGCAGGTGAGGGCCCCACCAGCCACATGGAGTATGAGGGGGGAGGGGAAAACAGGTTACATGATAGCTTCCTAACTGGCTCTGCTTCTCCTCGGAATGCCCCTCCCACCCACCAGGGACATTTAAATTCTCATAACTCAGGGAGGGAGCACCCATCAGGCAGATGAGAAAACTCAGGCTTGGAGAGGCAAAGAGAGTTGCTTGAAATGGATGAGGTGGGATTTGAACCCAGTGCTTGAAATGGATGAGGTGGGATTTGAACCCAGGTCTTCAGGACACCAGAATGCTAGCTTTCCACACTCAGTAGCCAGGAGATAGCCCACACACCTGGCTCTCTGGGCCAAGCTTGGGCAGTGGACAAGGCATGGCTGCTCTGATCCTGCCTGTCTGGAGGGAGGTGGGAGGGGCTGCCTAAAGGAGGACCCACGGGAGCTGGCCCTCATTGGGGGTGCAGGTGGTGGCAGAGGGCTGTTGGAGGTTGGGGCTGTCCTGGCCAGCATTGTTGAAGTCTGGCCCTGAGGCAGGAGCCTGGACCCAGGCACACCCAGCCTGAGCTCTGACCCCATCAGACCCGCCATTAGAGCTATGGGCCAGGACACCAGGGCAGGCTCAACAGAAGCCTGAGTGGGGGTGGGGAGCCAGGGGCTGGGCACTGCTGGCAGGCCAGCTCCACTTAGGGCCGCTTCAAAGAAGGGCCCCTTGTAGTTGGGGTGACCCTTCCCCGAGCAGCCCCTCCCACCTCCCTGGGGTTGATGACAGAGACACAGGCCTTGACTCCTCTTGTGGTCCTGGTGCTGTCCCATGCATTGCCACCCCCAGGCCCCCCCATAGCGCCCATTCCTTGCAGAAGGCAAGTCCGTGGCGGACCTCATCACGGAGCGGCAGCTGCTGGCGGCCTTCACCCAATTACAGGACCTGGAGACAAAGCTGGTGGCCGAGAAGACCTCGCGCGCCTACCAGCAGGACCCCACTGCCTTTGCGCGCCGCGCCATGGACGTGTGTCTCCACTACGACTGTCTGGCCGCCGAGATCGGCGCCATGGTGCGCGAGACGCTGAGCCCGTCAGGGGTGGACACTGCTGCGCTAACCGAACTGGCCCGCGTGGTGCGTGCCGAGGAGGAGGCCCACCCGGCGCCCCCTGAGGACGGTGACTTCCTGCGCACGCCGCGCCGCTGGCGCCAGCACTGGGAAGACGCGGTGCGGCAGAGCGTGCAGGAGCGCGTGCGGCGGGCCAGCTCCGGGGAGGCCCCGCAGGACGACCAGCGCTCGCCTGGCCTGGCTCACCTTCTGGCCGCACTGGGCGGCCTGGTCCGTGGCGATCTGCAGAAGGTGCGGCTGGAGGTGCAGCCTGCCTACGCGGCTGCCGGTTTCTCCGCCTGGGAGATCTACCTGCAGGCTTTCCACGGCGCGGTGGCCCAGCGCCTCCAGGAGCTGGCACAAGAGGCCCGTGGCTGCGAACAGCTCTATGTCCTGCTGGACTGGGCTGCCAATGTCTACCGAAGGTGAGGCCAGGGCGCCACTGCCTGCCAGAGTTTGGGGAGATCGCTCTCGGCCTGGGTTTTCCTAAGGGGAACCCAGCATCCTAGTTCCCCAAGGTAGAACATATGCCAGACGAGGTTCCCACGAGCAGGGGCCCAGTGAGAGGGCCTGTGCTCTGCCAGCTGGTGCCTTGGAGTCTAAGCAGCGCCACACACCCCTCCCCTCCCAGAGGGAGACAGCCTTGGGCTCACAGAGCTTGGTGCTGGCTGAGTTCACTTGCTTGCTCACCCCTGCATTGTGGAGTGGAAAGGGAAGGGGAGGTCTCCTGCCCCCACTAGCAGGGGTAGCTGTCCTGCAAAAGGAGGGCCCACAATGGCCCAGGTTCCCCTGCCTGAGTGCCTTTAGTTAAGCATTTGGTTCCCAAGCTGTGTGATGTGGGAGTGGGCAGGTGAACAGCCTAGCCTTGGGTGAACCTTGACCATGACTGAGGTCCACATGGACAGCCATCCTCCTGTCTTCCCAATTGGCTCTGCTAGGGGGCCTGGTGAGGGAGCAGCTGGGAACTTGGGGGAGGGGAGGGTCTTCGTCGGCCAAAGGAGGGCCTGGGGATGGGATCCTTAACAGAGGCCCAGGGTCAGTGACACTGCAGTGATGGCTTCTGGCGTTAAGCCAGGCCCGGGGGAATGGGCGACAGCGGCCCTTTGATGCACAGGAGCCCCGCCCCTCAGCCTGCCACCCTGCCTTCCAGCCCTGACTTCCTGGGTGCCCCGGACTTGGCGCTGCCCGCTGAGCCGCTGCCCCCACTGCTGGCGCCTGAGGTGTGGGCCGGGTTGGAGAATGACTACACCAGATTCCTAGAGGTGAGGGGGCAGGGCCAGGCCGGAGAGCCGGGGCCATGCCCTGGGCACCTTGCCGGGAACTGGGGCACTGTCTCAGGCTGCCCCTCAATGCTGGGCGTCATGAGGGCTGGTGCCACCTCCCCTCTGTAGCTTTGGGCATGGGCCTGTGGTATGGAAGGGTGGCCCTCGCCGTAAGGACGGGGAGGGCTGGAAAGCAGGGGCGCAGGCCCTCTGTGGTGGTAGGTCTCACCACAGCCGGTCCTCTGTGCAGACCAAGATCGACAGCTGCTTCAACAGCATCCTGCAGCTGGAGCGGAGGCGCTGGGCAGCTGCAGAGGCCCCTGAGGTGCTGCAGGGTCGCTACCACGCACCGCTCTCCATCGATGTGCACATGGTGCGACCTGAGGGGTCAAAGGGGCGGGTGCTTGGGCTTCCCGAGTGGGTGGGGACCCCCTGAGACGCCGAGCCCATGGCTAACCTCCGCTCCTGGTGGGCACTCCAAGTGGGGCACAATTGGGACTCCAGGGACAAGGCATGGGTGCAGCTCCCAGCTGGGCAGGTGACTCCTAGCTGCAGGGAGTTGAGAAGATTGGTAGTGAAACGGAGGGGAATCGGTCCACGAAGCAGGGTGCTGGGGACTTGGGGGCTCGGATGCGAGCTCATCGCCACGCCCGCAGCTCGTGGGTGAGCACGTGAAGGCGGCCCGGGCCATCTCGACGGAGCTGGAGGCCACCACTTTGAGGATCTGTGCGCAGGCCCTCGGCCTCTTCGTGCCCAGGTGCGGGCGGAGCAGGGTGTGGGCGGTGGTTTGTCCTGGGAGCCCCGCCCCAATTTGCTCGAGTCGGGTTGGGGTGGGGAAGGGGAGGGAGAGAGGGCTTTGTCCAGCAGGTGGGGCAGGAGGCCCAGCACAAAGCCTAGGCGAGGTGCAGAGCTGGACGATGCCAAACCCGGTAGGACCCCACGGCCTCTACACCTGCACCCCCAGGTTTGAAAAGGCTTTTCTGGAGTCGGAGGGTGTGAGCGTGCCGCACCTGGGCGCCTACATCAACGCTTTCGAGGAGCTCAGGTGGGTCTGGGGCGCCTGGCGGCACCTCCGGGAGCCTGTGTCCGGTGTGGCCAGCAGGGGGAGCGCGAGCACAGGGAGCCGGCAGGCAGAGGGGTCCTGCCCTGGGTGGAGTGAGGCTGCAGGGCTGGGGCATGGGCGCTGATGGAGGCAAGGGGAGGAGCCTTCATCAGGGCCCGGAGGGGCTGCTCCCTCCTAGAGTGAAGTCAAAGGCAGGATCCCCAGGAGGCTACTAGGGACCCAGCCCACCCACAGGGCAGTGGCACTGGGGAAGGTTTCAAAGTGGAGCAAAGGCTGGAGAGTTCCATTCCCCCCATTCCTGTCTGCTGCCTGGCCAGGCTGGTCCTGCCACTCTGGGCTCTGTTCCTTCCACTCTTTATGCCAGCCATCCTTTTCCTTCCTTCTCAGGGACAGCCGGGCTGTGGTGAGAGTTGGGTCTGGATCTGTCTGGGAGTTGGGTCTGGATCTGTATGCTTCCAGGAGGCCCTCTTTGTGGGCTGGAAGAAGGCTGTTCCTGTTGTGTCCTCAACCTCAGGCAACCTCAAGGTTGCCCAACCCCCCCCCCCCTCCGTGGGCACACCAGCAGCTCAGGCCTTGGCTTTGAGGGTTCAGATCTAGCTCTGTCACTTAGCAGCTGTGAGTCCTGGGCCAAGTTACTCAACCACTCTGGGCTGCCTGGCAAACAGGAATCAGATCCCTTGCTTGCTGGCTAGGGCTGTGTGGGGCCTCAGTGTCTTGGAGAACTTGGGCCAGTTCCACTTTGAGCACTGGCTGTGTGCCTGCACTGTGCTGCTTCACACACCTGCTGCCCTTGCATCCTGACTTCAGGGTGCCCCTTGACAGATGACAAAGAAGTGTCACTTGGCCAGTCACACAACCAAGTGGTGGATCTGGGTTTGAACCACATTGGCCAGGTCCAAAGTGTAACCACAATCAGGCACTGCTTCTCCAATGCTCTCTCACTCCTGATCAGAGCCCCATGGCCCTGAGCCCTGGGGGCTCTGGGGGTCAGCCAGCCCCAGCTCCTGCCATAGGTGTGGTCCTCGCTCCATCTGAGGTGGCTTGGGAGGGAGCCTCCCTTGGTAGGCAGTCTCTGGTTCAGGTTCCCCAACAGTGAACAAAGAAAGGTATCACCCTCCTGGGGGGGAGGGGTGTCCCCAAGCAGGATGGGGTTCCTTCCATAGCTTAGCCATGGGGTAGAGGTGGCTCACCCCCCCATGAACAGCCCCAGGGGCGTGGTGCTGTCCCTTCCTTTACTCTAATCCCAGGGTTTTAGGTTGGGCAGCCTAGGAGCTGCCCTTCACCCTGTAGCCTAAATGCATGGAGTTGTTGTTGTGGTGCCAAGCCAACATGGCTGTGGCTGCATGCAGGGCTATGGTACCCCAGCCTCTTCCCCTAACCCCTCCTTCACCTGTCTGTCCCCTTACCCCCATTTCACCTCCTGTGTCACCTGTATCACCCCCCATTTCACCTGTCCTCCCCCTTCACCTGCCCCCCACCTCACTTCTCCCTTCACCTTCCCCCTACTTCACCTGCTAACCTCATCATCCTCATCATCCCTGCTAACCCCTCATGTCACCTGTCTGGCCCCTTCCCCAGGACCAACCTTCTGGCCAGGTTCCCAGGCACCTTTGAGGAGCTGGAAAAGCCCCTGACCAGGACCACATCCACATTCCAGAAGCACCTGCTGGAGAGTTTGCAGAGTGATGTGCAGGTGAAGGGGCAGGGCAGTCACCACCTTTCTCGCCTACCCTTTCTCCCCACTTCCTATGCCCAGCAGGTGCCCTTGCACTTGAAGCCCTGAACCCAGGTCACGTCCCCCACTTCCTCTAGGTCAGTTTCAGACCTGTGTGTTTTAGGAGCCTCAAGGAGCAGGGTTGCTGGTGATCTGCCCACCCACCTTCTCATTTCAGCCCACCTCTCCATGGTCGAGAGCCAACCCCAAGACGGTGTTCTGGAGTTGGAGCTGGGGGAGGGGGACTAAGCAGGTCCTTGGTGGTGGTGGTGGTGGTGTCTCCACCCAAACCCTGAGAAGCCCTTCCTGACCATGCCTCTCAGGGCATGAAGAGAAGTGACAGCCCCCCACCAAAAAAACAAAAAAGACAGACCTCTAAAGCTCTTTCCGGGTGACATGGCCCTTCCAAGGCTTTAAGGGGGGGCCCCCATGGGCGGGGTGACACAGTTGAAGACCCCAGCTCTCCCAACTCCCTAGCCACTCTTCAGGTTACTGTGCACCAGGGCCTGGCTGACCCAGGACGCGCTCCAGCCCCTCATGGACAAGGTGGTAGCCTTTGCCCGCCAACTTGAGCTGGTGGCTCCCCCTCGGGGACAGGTAGGGTGGCGAGGGGGTGCGCCCTGGCGGGGTGTGTCCACACCAATTGTCATCTGACACTCTGCCATCTGACACCCCTCCCCCATTCAGGAGGTCTTGCACGAGGCACACCGATATGTGGTCCGGGAGTACCTGGTGCAGGCCCTGAGGCCGCGCGAGCGTTTTCGGGGCGCAGAGCGTGTGACTGGCTCCCAGAAGATGAACCTAGAGGCCCAGGCCATTGGTGACACCTTCCAGGGCCTGGTAGGCGCAGCGCCATTGCTGAGGGGCACGCACCTTCCCAGGAGGCTCCTACACGGAGCTGCATCACGTGGGGGGCGGGGACTAGGCGGGGCGGGGCCGGTTCGGAGAGAGGCTCGGGCATCTGGACATTTGAGCCTGGACCCAGGGGGCATGGATGCTTCTCCAAGATTTGCATGCCCTTTGCAGGCACCGCCCCCTCTGGACAGCCCTTGGAAGGGCTCTCCTCCCTAACCCCATCCCCACCATCCCCTTCCATCAGAGCCCCTGCCCCCTCTTCACCTGGGCTGCTGGATGTCCCCCTCGAAGTGTGAGTCCCGGCCCTGGCCTCAGTTTCCCCATCCGCGCAGAGACGAGAGGGGGCTCTGCGAGCTGGTTCTTGGGGAAGGGAACTGGGGGAGCGGGCTCCTCTTTGGGGAGGGGGTGTCACGGGCACCTCCCTATCCCTTCAGGGCTCAGAGGCCTCGTGGCTGGACCAGGCCATCTCAGGCGTGTCTGAGATCCTAGGTGAAACAAACAAGGACCGCATCCAGCAGCACTTGGAGGAGCTAATCCGGAGCTACCAGGACATCAGGTCCGTCCGTCCTCCTGCGGGGTCGGGAGTTGGGGTTGGGGCCTGCGGAGGGTCCCTGGCGCTGCGGGAGTTCTGGCTTTAGTCAGATAGAAGCTCCATCTAGTTCCCGAGGCTCTTCCCTGACAGAGCTCGAACCCAGGGCCACGGGTAGGCTGTAGCACCGGCTCAGGCCCTTATGGGTGGTCTCCTCCCTGCCCCCAATGGGAATCCAGGAGTGGCAGGACCCCTCCTCTCAGAGGAAGTCACTGGAAACCCCAAGTCTTCCAGCCCAACCGCCTGAGCCGGTCCAGGAGGGAGGCTTTGAGGCAGGCTTTGTTTTGGGACTGCGGTGATTCACCAGATCCCTGGAAACCCCAGCCCGACCCTTGGGTGGCCTTGGAGATTCCAGGATGGGGAGGCTGCATCAGAAACTTCCCCATCCCGGGCCCTTCCCGATTCCACGCCTTCCCCTCGCCCCGCCCCACCCCTCCATCCCCTCCTGCTCTTGGGAGGCCTGGCCCGAAGCCCTGGCTTTGGCTTGCGGGTAACTCTTCCGGGAGGGGGGCTTTCCCCTCGGAGTTCCCCTGCCCTCGACCCGGGTTCGGGTTCCCGCCTGGTGTTCTGGTGAGGAAGGGGGCGATTAGATTCTCGGGCTCCACAGGGTTGCCTGGCTGGGCTCCTCCCACAGTGCTGCTCCGGGATCTCCCCCCCAACCCTCCCCCCGCCCCACCCCGACCCCCGCCCCGCACCTAGACTTCTGCCTTCCGCCCGCTACCCTCTCTCCACTTGCTCTCTGGCAGCTAGGCCCTCCCGACTGGGTTCCCGGACAGCGGGGGCCACTCACACCTCCCCGCGGAGCGAGGGTCCTCCTCCCCGCAGCCTGGAGGGCCCCCTGGGGTGCAAGGTGGGCAGTGAGGGCCTGTGTGTCGCTGTAGGCAGGAGCATGTGCTGGCCGTGTTGTCGCTGCGCCGACTGGGCCGCCGCCGGAACCAGCGCTTGCTGCAGCACACTCAGGATCTGTTGAGGGCTGCCGCCAAGGCCGGGAGCTCGGGGGACACCGGGGGGCGCGTACTCTTCGAAGAGATCGAAGTGCCCACCTCCATGGACGTGCTGGTCACCTGCATCTAAGGCTGAGCCCACGGCTGGGGTTGGGTCTTGTGGAGGAGGGCCAGCTTGGAGCCTGGAGAGGCCGGCACTCCTGGCCCTGGCCCTGGCCCCAATCCAGAAGCCCCTGGTCATGGAATTTTCCCCTCCGCCGCGCCGCGCATGCCTGCTTTTCCGGAAGGAACCCAGGGGATGCGGCGGCCGTGGCATTTGTGGGGGAGGATTGAGGAGACTGGCGTTGCCCACTGCTCACCCAGAGGCCCTCCCCGCCTCCCCCAGCCCAGGGGGATGAGCCAGAGTATTTATTTTAAAATTCAAAACGAATTAAAACGGTGTCTCCCACGGAGGGGCTGTGCTGTGGCTTGGCACAGGGTCTTGGTCTCCATGCTTGGAGGGGCCGGGGGCGCTGGTGCCAATCTTTTCCTACCTGTAAGGATATTGCACGGATGGGAAGACAGGGAGGCCCAGAGGTGGACGGGCCACCCAGGGGATGCAGAGCCACACAGCTGCCTCTGGGTCTCAGGGAGCCTGGCCACAGCGCTAGCTTGTCCCCAGGCAGGCTGTGCCTCAGGGGTAGAAGAGGTTAAGGCTTATTGGGAAGCTTGTTAATCTTTACAGATGTGAGAGGGACTCCCCAGCAGTGATAATTGTCAGGCTGTTATAGGACCGGTGGTACCTGTGGAGTATGAAGGGGATGGGGGCAGGTGCCGGCAGGCCTCAGCCCTGGAGATAGGGATGCAAGGTGTGTATTCGCTGTGCCCCCCACCCCTCACCCCTTCCAAGTCTCATGGAATGCTGCTCAGTCACTTGTGGCTGGTCTGCCGGAAAGCCATTTGCATTGGCAGCTGGCGTTTGGCAGGGAGGTGGAGTGACTGAGATGGAGTTTCCTGGGAGATCCAGGGTGTATACTCCCCTCCACCCCTCAGGAAGGCTTTACCCCAACTCTCTGGGGTTGGGGGCCAGCCCATCTCCCTCCTTGTGATGTAGGCAGTGCTGGGCAGTTCACCGGCTTGGCTTAGTGGCACAGTGGTGAAGCACCCATCGGCTAACCAACTGGTGGGCAATTTGAACCCACCAGCCGCTCCAGGCGGGACAGCTATGGCCAGCTGCCTCCATACAGAGTCCAGCTTTGGAAATCCTCCGGGGTTGCTTTGAGTTCAAATTGAGCTTTGAGTGCAAATTGAAGAGCCGCCAGGGGGTTGGTTTGGCTTGGGGACTGGGGGTAGGGATGGGAGTGGGCGGGGTGGGGCAGGAATGAGGAAGTGGGGAAGTTCAGGGTTCCCAGGCTCCAGAGCTGGGGGTGGGGGCAGGGTGTGTGAGAGCATAAATCCTGGCAAGCAGTCTTTGTGTCCGTGGGGAAACTGAGGCTGACAGTGGTCGGTGCACGTGCTGGGTTTAGCACAGCCTGGCCATGGTGGGGTGAGCCTGCTGGGAGGCGTGCCCTTTCCCTAGGGGAAAGCCCTGGAGGGGCTGGTGGCTGATGGATCAGCCCCTGCCTGACCCCAGGTGTAACTGCAGTGGCCATCAGCAGCCTGGGTGGGAGTCACAGGGAGCTTCTCAAAGAACTTACTACAATCGAGTCGATTCCTCTTAGCGACCGAGACCCTATAGGGCAGAACTGCCCCTGTGAGTTTCCAAGAGTGTTAATCTTTACAGAAATAGAAAGCCTCATCTTTCTCTCTTGGAACAGCTGGTAGTTTCGAACCTCTAACCTTGAGGTCAACAACCCAACTTGTAACCGGGGCTCCCTCAGGAAGGGCTTAGAAAGCCTGAAACTCCAACCAAACCCATTGCTGTGCATTGATTTCCACTCTGAGGGACCCAAGTTGATACAGTGAATTGCCCACAGGGTTTCCAAGGCTGTAAATCTTTACGGAAACACAGCTCCATCTTTCTCCCGAGGAGCAACTGGTTGTTTTAAAATGCCGCACTCCCAGGGTCCCTGCCCTGATGAGCAGTGCCCCTCCGAAGCCCAGACCTGCCAGCATCCTGGCCCCGTTGCTCCCAGGCTTGAGCGTGTGGGCAGGGCTCTTTGCCTTCTCTGTGCCTTGATCCTTCCAGCTGTGAAAGGGGGAGGATGAAGTAAGAACCATCCAGAGAGCCAATCTCCTGCATCATGTGACCAGGCTCCTAGCGGCACGGCTAGGCCACCCAAACCAAAGACCAAACTCACTGCCATCGAGTCAATTCTGATTCCCGGTGACCCTACAGGACAGAATTGAACTGCCCCTGTGGGTTTCTGAGAGGGCAACTCTTTATGGGAGTAGAAAGCTTCATCTTTCCCTGACCTCATGGTGGTTGGCAGCCGAATGTGTAAACTACTACGCCAGGCCACAGTCTACAGAAGGAAGAGAGGCAGCCCTGGCACAGGGGGTGGGGAGCTCCAGGGGTGGACGGTTTCTAAGGGCCCGGGCTGCCTGCCCTGAGGTGTCTAGGCCTGGACTGGGTGGCTAGGGTTTGCAGCAGGAGCTTTGCTTGCACATGATCTGGTACTTGGCAGAGGGTGTGTGTGCTCGTGTGTGTATGCTCATGAGAACCCAGAACTCTCCAGGGTCAACTCGGGGAGAGCAGGGGGCAGGCTGAGGGTCTCACAGTATTTCTCTGGGCATCTCGTCCAGGGCAGATGTGTGGTCTGTGGGACCTGCTGCTTGAGTTCTCAGAAGTTTCTGGAGTTACTGGCCACGTTGTTTCACTGATGAGGAAGGAAGTGTGTGCGTCCATGGATCGGCCTGTCAGTGCCCATGGGATCAAGGGGCCTTGCCCAGCCTTTATAGTCCTCTGTAGGGCAGGGCAGTCTGACACGACCTCATTTGACCCTTCAAGTTTGGACCCCTGGTCCTGAAAGCTGTCCTCTGGTCCTAGCCTGCCTGGCCCTCCTCATCCCCACCATATCCCTCTCAGCCCAGTTTGTCCCCCTGTCCCCCTTTGGCTCCTGAATGTACTGTTCCAGGGTGGGGTGGGGGTGGGGCAGGGGTGTGTCTGTTAGGGGGTCCCTGACTGAGTCCAGGCATGGAAAGCAGTAAAGAGGCTCAGAGGCTGAGCTGCCTGACCAGGCACAGCATGGTGGGGAGGCAGGAGAAGCTGGGGGAGGGTTGCCAGCAAGGGAGGGGATTGGAGTGCCCACCAGGTGCCCCTCACCCACCACCCCTGGCCCTGATCCTCCGGGCGTACCCTATTGGAAAAGTCCACAGGCTCTGTGGGCGTGGCTCTGGTGCCTAGGGGTCTCTCTCTGATTATAAGTGGGAGAGCACCCATAGATGGCAGAACAGGGTCAGATGGAGCTGTCCACAGAGCCCTGGCACTGGGCATGCAGCATGGCAGTCAGCAGCGTCAGGGCCACGCCCGGGCAGCCCCTCCCTCTTCCTTCCTTGCCTGGTGACCCTGGCCTCTTCCTTCCTGCCCTGGGCCACAGCAGACCCCTTGAAAACCAGGGCAACACCTAAGACAGGCTGGGGGACAGTTCCTGCAAGGTCTCTCACTACTGCCTAAGTGGGAAGGGGGCCATGGGCTCCCCAAGGCTGCCCTCCCTTCCAATCTCCCTTCCTGCCTTTGTTTCCACAAAGTGATCCTGTTAGAAACTCCAGCTGCTTGTGTGCCCAGCGTCTCAACTAGCCTCCCGCAGCACCCTGCCCTGTGTACATCCACCCTGGGCCCGTGCCCCTCTTGAGCCCTGCCCCCATTCCGCCAGGGGTTCCAAATCAGTCATTACATAGTCCTACCTCCTTTCTGGATGCCAGAACTTGACCCATGGGCACATCTACTCCTCCACCTGCGTGGCCTTTCACCTTTATTAAAATGTTTCTAAAAAAGAAATAAATGGTTTCGGTTGGTGCTACCTTCATATTGTTCAAACTGAAAACGGTCCAAACAGATACAAAGTGAAAAGTCTCCTTGTCCCTTGTCCCCGTTGGCTCCTTTCCCTTCCCTTCCCTGAGACCACTAGGCTGATGGGCTCCTGGGGTGGGTGGTGGTGGTGGTGGAGGATGACTTGCATCTGTGCCCAGCACTGATGGCCTGGGGGAAGATCATGAATGCAGGTGGACCTCCGGGCACTGGGGACAAACAACCTTGTTTTATGTTTTTGCTGGATTGGGTTTGGGGTCACCCACTGCCACCCAGTTATTCGGACTCACAGCAACCGTATTTGAGGAGAACTGTGCCTTATGACTTTTGAGGCTGGCAATCTTTTTTATTTTTGCTTTATCTTCTTTTTTTTCTTTTCTTTTTTTAAAATTAAAAGATCCTTTTGTTGTGGGGCTCTTACAGGTCTTATAACAATCCATATGTCAATTGCATCAAGCATATTTGTACATATGTTGCCACCATTCTTTTCTAGACAGTTACTTTCTTTTTTTAATTTATTTTTTATTTTTTTTACTTTTTAATCATTTTATTAGGGACTCATACAACTCATCACAATCCATACACACATCAATTGTGTAAAGCGCATTTGTACATTCATTGCCCTCATCATTCTCAAAACATTTCCTCTCCACTTAAGCCCCCTGCATTAGGTCCTCATTTTTACCCTCCCTCCCCGCTCCCCCCTCCCTCATGAGCCCTTGATAATTTATAAATTGTTATTTTGTCAGATCTTGCCCTTAGACAGTTACTTTCTATTGAACCCTTGGTATCAGCACATCTTTTTGCCCCCTCCATCCTCATGACCCCTTGATAAATTATAATTTATTATTATTTTCTTTTTTTTAAAAATTATTTGATTGGGGGCTCGTACAATTCTTATTACAGTCCACACATACATCCATTTTAATTTATTATTATTTTTATATCTTACCCTGACTGCTGTCTCCCTTCGCCCCTGGTTCTGTTGATCCCTCTGGTGTGTGTGCGTTTATGTGTCAATCATTGTGATTGTTTCTCCCTTCTCACAGGGAAGGGAGGAGTCAACAGGGCGCAGTATAGCACTGATGAAACACAATATTCTGGTTCCTTGAGGCTTTCTCACTCCCCACTATCACGACCCCAGTTCTGTCTTTCACGGTGGGCTAGACTGGAGCATGTGCCCAGGTACAGATAAGAGAGAATAGCTCATGGCACACGGAATCCAGGAACAGGAATAGGAGTAGCGATACCAGGAGGGCAGGGGGGAGGCGGGAGAAGGGGAACCGATTGTGAAGATTGACAATCACAATCTTTACGGAGCAGGTAGCCCCATCTTTCTGCCTGAGTGGCTGGTGGAGCCCCCTGCAGGCCTGGTGGTTAGCAGTCCAGCTCATCCCCCACTGCACCCCCAGGCGCCTCTGGGGAGTTACCTCAGACCATTACTTATTTTTTCCTACCTTTGAAAACATTCAGAAATTCAGGATGC